AACCTCCAACTCTTGGGCTCAAGTGATGCTCTTGCCTCAGATTTTCTATTTTTAGTAGAGACATGGCCTTCCTTTTGCTCAGGCTGGTCTTGAACTCATGAGCTCAAGCAATCTATCCACCTTGGTCTCCCAAAGTGCTAGGACTACAGGTGTGAGCCATCACACCCAGCCCCAAGTAGAGCAGTTATTATCATAAAAACAAAATAACAGATGCTGGTAAAGATGCAGAAAAAAGAAACTTGTATGTGCTGTTGTTGGCAATGTAAATTAGTGATGTTATTATGCTAAACAGTACAGAAGTTTCTCAGAAAACTAATGACAAAATTGCCATATAATCCGGCAATATCACTACTGGAAAGAAAATCAGTATATCAAAGGGATACTATATCCCTATGTTAATTGCAATGCTATTTACAGTAGCCAAGATATAGAATCAAAGTGTTCATCATAGGACAAATGGATAAAGAAAAGGTGGCATATATACACAATAGAATACTATTCAGCCATAAGAAAGAATAATATCCTGTCATTTGCAGTAACATAGATGGAACTGGATGTCATTATGTTAAATAAAATAAGCCAGACACATCTTCATGTCAGATATAAATTCTCATTAATATGTGGAATTCATAAATTCTCATTAATATGTGGAAGCTAAGAAAGTTGATTGCATAGTGGTAGAGAGTAGACTGATAGTTACTAGGAACTGGAAAGGGTTGGGGTGGGGATGAATAGAGAATAAGTGGATACAAACATACAGATAGATAGTTATAAGAAGCTCTAGAGTTCAACAACACTGTAGGATGACTATAGTTAGCAATAATATATTGTATATCTCAAAATGGTTAGACAAGAATATTTGAAATGTTCCCAACAAAAAGAAATAATAAACATTCAAGGTGATTTATGTCTTAAGTACCCTAATTTGGTTATTATACATTGTATGTATGTATCAAAATAGCACATGTACCCTATGTGTATATGTACAAATATGATGAATTAATTTAAAAATTAGGAAAGATTATACTGGTCTACCATAATCAAGAGACAAGAGTGGATCCCATCATGGATTCCTAAAATTCTAGGGCCTCATGGCCTGATGATATGGTTTAGTAGAGAATACTGCAGCTTTGTTCAGCCTTTCTTATTCAGGTATTACAAACATCAGACAGAACAGATGTTTACTTTAAGTTGTATCAGTTAGAATGTTTGGGCTGAAAGTATAGACAATCCAACTCATAATTATACAAATAACACATCAAGTCAACTCAGAAGTATATACCCAAGAGACATGAAAAAATATGACCATACCAAGACTTGTACATATATGTTCCTAGCAGCATTATTCACCATAGTAAAAAAGTGGAAACAGCTCAAGTTTCCATCAACTAATGAATGAATAAGCAAAATTTGCTATATCCATATAATGGAATATTATTCAACTACAAAAATGAATGAAGTGCTGATACACACTAGAATGTGGATGAACCTTGAAAACATTCTGCCTAATAAAAGAAGCCGTCACAAAAGACCAGTTAATTTTATGGTTTCCTATATTAAATAACCACGATATGCAATTCCAGAGAGACAGAACTTAGAAGTTTTTAGAGCTGGTATGAATGAGAGAAGTGGAGTAAAAAGAAAAATACAGAGATCCTCAGTGTCTTCAACTTCCTAATTCTGCTAAAATTCAAGAGAGCTCATGGGATAAAAGTAAAGGATGTTGAAGGAGGAGATGAAAGAATGTGCATCCCCTGAGACACTCGCTCACTTTCTCTCAGCCTCAGTTTCCTCATTTGCCCATGGAGGTGACAACTCAGAAGGTTAAGAGACTTTAGAGACAACACCTGCAAGAGCAAAAACACTTCAGAAAGATGATGAGTTACCTTATTTTTGCCATGTATATTGCACTCTCATGTGGAATGCACACCCGTGTATAATGCACACCCACATTTTTGGCCCAAACTTTCAGGAAAAAAATATTTCAATTTAATTTTTTAATTCAAATTTTTGATTATATTTAGGTACCAGGTTTTTATACTGTAATTTTAGCATTTTTTAACATAATGTGGTACAAGACATTCTATGTGACAAAAACATCAGCTAGATTGCCATCTCCCGCATAGTAAAGTGTACAAAGAGAAAAATGTCATTCTTCACCAGCAAAAAAGGGTTTGGTTGCAAGTTCCTCATAAGTTCAACAAAACTGATTACCATATTCCAGGATGTTATTTTGCATATGGATATTGTTGCTTTTAAGTGTTATACTTTTACCACATAAGCATAAATAAAAGAATTTAAAACATTTATATAGATGAAGAATTAGTACTGCCCTTGGATAATGCACGTTTTTATTTTTTCTTTCAAAAATTTGGGCAAAAAGTACACATTATACACAGCAAACTGCAGTACTTAGTATTCACAGACAAGAGGAAGTCATTTGGTATATATGAAACTCAAAGAAAATTACAGAATGACTTTAAATTCTTCATTTCAAATATCTTCTCTATGTTCAGTCCTTCCCTGTAAGACATCTTTGAATGAGAGCTTCTCTCTAACTTCCAGGGATAAATAGTAAGCCTGATTTCATTGGATTGAACTCTTTTTTGCCCCCAGTTAGAGGTTGGGTATGGTACATTTAGAATAATAATCAAATTGTATTTTGTTTCTCTTCTTAGGGCGTTTGGGATTCTGACCTAGAATGTTATAAAAAGTATGGGAAAATGTGGGGGTGAGTATTCTGGAAGATTCCATTGCTGCTATGATATGCACCCCACTGCAAGGAGGACAAGCTCAGTCCAGAGCCTCTTGGAGTGAATCTATCTATTGTAAAGCTTTTGGAAGCTTGTCCCATCTAAGATCCCATATGTCACCAGCTGTGAAGGTCTGCAGTCTGAACTGGACTTAGAACTTTGCAGATTATAACTTTTTCTGCAGATTTTGTTGTCCTACAGACTCCTTGCCTCACTTTCTGTCCAGTGTCTGGCTGTTGCCCTGTTTTCAATTTTTCCTTTCTGAGGTTACTTTTAGTTGCATCAAATGCATTATCTCAGACTCTTTTTTTTTTTTTATTAAGTCAAATACACATAGATCATGAATACATTTATACATATGTGGGGTACAATGTGTTTTTTTTAATACAATCTAACGTGGTTACATCAAACCCATCAACATAGCTTTTGCCTCATTTACTTGATTATTGTGTTAAGACATTTATGTTTTACATTTGACAGATTTCACTTGTACCCTTGCAGTATGCTTCATAGGTGTGGTCCTGCCTTTTATTCTCCCTCTTTCAATATGTGTTCATAAATGTGTGGCATAATCTCCTTTCCACATTGATTCACTTTTCATTAGAAGTAAAAATACTTTTATTTAAATTTTGGCCTATATATATATATATGTATGTATGTATATTTGAGAACTGTGCTGGGAGATATAAATAAACACATTGGGAAACCATTTGTGCTCATTATTTTTTACATACTCTGAAAGTGTTGAAGTTTTTCTCTTTTTAAGCTGATTTTCAATAGAAGTACAATATTTCCTTGTCTGCCCAATTCTGTTGCCTTAAAACATATAGGATGGTGTAAACTATTATGTTCCTAGTGCCTTGGTGGACTTTATAATTCTGTGATATGACCTTAGCCAACTATAGCAGCTGTTCCATTTCAAAAATGCTAGAGGTTTGGTGAGAGCAGCAGACAAGGTACAATCATGTGCTTGTATACTACTAGCAAGTAAGAGAAGCTGTACCTCTTCATGCTTCTTCATCTTCTCTCATTAAGTCCTCAAAAACCACAGCACTGGCCACAGTACTCTATTGATGTGGCATGGCCCATAAAGGCCACGTGACTGAGTAGAAAGAACACAGATTGAGGGATCTCTACGGACATGATGCCAAATGCCCTTTATAACATTTAGTACTTGTAAGCACTTGATAATTGACTTACTTCAATTTTTCACTGATGTAACATTCTTTTCGATAATAAAATATTCTACACATATAAAAAATTATGGGCTCAGTGCCCATAGCACAGTGGTTATAGCGCCAGCCACATACACTGAGGCTGGTGGGTTTGAACCCAGCCCAGGCCTGCTAAACAACAATGACAGTATCAACAAAAAATAGCCTGGCATTGTGGCAAGTGCCTGTAGTCCCAGCTACTTGGGAGGCTGAGGCTGAGGTAAGAGCATCACTTAAGCCCAAGAGTTTGAGGTTGCCTTTTGGAAAGATGTCTGGAGAACACTTAGAGAACTAAAAATAGACCTGCCATTGGATCCTACAATTCCTTTATTAGGTATATACCCAGAAGAAGATCAAAAATCACATTACAATAAAGATATTTGTATCAGAATGTTTATTGCAGCCCAATTCATAATTGCCAGGACATGGAAGAAGCCCAAGTGCTCATCGACCCACGAATGGATCAATAAACTGTGGTATATGTACACCACGGAATACTATGCAGCCATAAAGAAAGATGGAGACTTTACCTCCTTCATGTTTACATGGATGGAGCTGGAAAATGTTCTTCTTAGCAAAGTATCACAAGAATGGAAGAAAAAGTATCCAATGTACACAGCCCTATTATGAAACTAATTTATAGTTCCCAAATGAAAGCTACAATCTAATTCTAGCCCGAGAATATGGGGAGGGGGTGGATGAAGGGAAGGGAAAAGGGCAGATGGGTGGTGGGAGGGTGACTGGAAAGATTACCTATGTGGTCTGTCTAACAAGGGTACAGGTGAACTTTTCTAGAACTAGAGTATAAATGTTTTAACACAATAAGTAAATGACACAAAGTCTATGTTAACCAGTTTGATGAAAATATTTCAAATTGTATATGAAAACACTACACTGTACCCCATGTTTGCATTAATGTATACAGCTATCATTTAATTTTAAAAAAAGAGTTTGAGGTTGCTGTGAGCTATAACACTATGGCACTCTACCTAGGGTGACATAATGAGACTCTGTCTCAAAAATTAAAAAAATTATGGAGAATAATACAGGAAGTATGCATGTACTCCCACCTATCCCTAAATATTCTCCTGTTATTTCTAACCATGATCTGTTTGAAGAGCTATTTTGTCCTTAAATGTCTATTTCCTGCTTGAACCATGTTACCCTTCATTGTATGAAGACTCGCATGACTTTGCTGATCAGAATCTTCTCCATGTCAGGACAGTAAGGATTTAATTTTGAACTAGGACCTAATGTTGCTGTATATTGTATCGCTAGGGGTATGGATTGCTTGACATCAGGATCATTGTTTGGATTCCTGGGTGTGGCTCCAGCTGCAGAATCAGTGGGGTTTATTTGGCTCTTTTTTCCTGACACAGGTTGTATGATGGCCAACAGCCTGTGTTGGCTATCACGGATCCCGAAATGATCAAAACAGTGCTAGTGAAAGAATGTCATTCTGTCTTCACTAACCGTCGGGTAGGTATCCATTGCAAAAAAATTTAAAGAATGTGTATTTATGTTTTATTTTGAAATAATTATATATTCACAGAACATTACCCCAAAAATGTACAGGGAAATTCCATGAAGTCTTCATCCTATTTCCCCAGTGGCAATGTCTTACATAATTATACATACAGCAAAAGAAAATTGATGTTGAAGCAATTCACAGAGCTTATTACTATTTCCTCAGTTTTATGTGCCCTCATTTGTGTGTCAGTGTGTGTGTATGTCACTCTGTGCAAATTTATCCCATGCAGAAATGTGTATCTTTACCGGCACAATCAAGACTCAGAACTGTTTCATCACCCTGAGACTTCCTTTTGCTGTTTTCTATAGTCATGATGTGTGTGTGGCTTGTATACCTGAGCAAACTGGTATTTTTTATTTTAAGGAGCCAAGTTTATTCATTTTTTCTTCTATAGACTGTGCTTTTAATGTCATATCTGAAAATTCTTTCCTAGCCCACTTCCGTGTTAATTTTTTTCTAAGGCAATATATTTGGATGCTTTACATTTAAGTCTATAATCCACTGTGTTAATTTTTGTATAATGTATGAGGTTTAGGTCAAGGTTCATTTTTTGTGGCCTTTGGCTGTAGTACTGTTTTAATACCACTTTTGGAAAGAATACCCTCCTTCCACCGAATTGCTTTTGCACCTTTGTCAAAAAACATTTGAGCTTATTTGGATGCACTTATTTTGTATTGTCTATTCTGTTCTCTGAATCACTGTGCCTATCTCTCGACCAGTACCACAAGTGCTTTTTTGTAATAAATGGATTTGTTGTGTAAAGTTTGGATTCAATGGAGGAGCTGCATTTGGAGATCTGGAGGGTTGTATGTGGCCCCAAAGCCACAGCTTTCCCACCCCTAGTAGTAGCTGTATACTTAAGTCTTAACAGTAATTGTTTTGGCTATTTTTATTCCTTTGCCTTTTTATACAAATTGAGAATAAGCTTGCTAATGTCTACAAACACACTTACTGAGATTGTAAAGAATTGTCTTAAATCTATAGGTCAATTTGGGGAAAATTCATATCTTTTCTATGATGAGTCTTTCGATCCATGAACACAGTATGCCTATCCATTTCTTTAGTTTAGGAATGTAGTTAATTTATCTGTATTGGTCCTTTATCCTACAACCTTGCTGAACTCATTTATTTGTCCTCAAGATATTTTTGTATATTCCTTCATATTTTTCACATTGACAATTATGTCACCTGAAAATAGAGACAATTCTGATTTTTCCTTTCCAATCTATGGGGGTTTTATTTCTTGTTCTTCTCTATTGCACTAGGAATTTCAATATGGTGTTAAAAAGGAGTGGTGAGAGTAGACCTTTTTTAATTATTCCTGATCTTTGGGGTAAAGCAGTCATTCACCATTAGGTGTCATTTAGTTGAAGGATTTTTGTATATTCTATTCATCACATTGAAGAACTTACCTTCTCCTCCTAGTTTGCTGAGTTTTATCACCAATGAATGCTGGTAGTATTCATTTTAAAACAAAAAGTAGTTTTGGAAGATAGAAGAAAGTTATATGCAGGGTTTTGGGGTTTTGGGGTTTTTTGATAGGCCAGTCTCAAGAAGGCAAACTGAGTTTCCTTTTGCCTTCTTTTTTTGGAGGAAAATTAAAAGAAAAGAGCTGTCATGTAATGTCATTTTTTTCAAAATATATTTCTAATCATTTAAATATTGCCTACTTTTTTTAAAAAAAATTACATCAAGGAATCCCTTTTTCAAGTTGCTCATACTATAGCAAGTTACACTATAGGTACAGGCAAAGATGAAACTGGTTGAGGTAGTGCACAGTCCACCAAGGCCATCTTTCCATCTGTTATCAGTCCTTTTCTACTCTATGCAAACCTGCAAGAGGTAATAGATCTTGTTCCTGGTTATTCTCCTGGAAGAATAGGTCCCCTACCATGTGGAACATTTACCTTTAAAAGAAGATTGGAAACCTAACCTGGGAGCTGGGTGTTCCCACCCCCATACACATACTCAGAGGAGGGTAGGCATTTGGGATACATCTTTACTGAGCTTCTAGCATGGGGCTTGCTACCTAGTAGACCAACACTGAATATTTGTTAAATAAGTGATGCCTATTTAACACATTTTCTATAACTGTGGAAATCTGCAAAACTTATGTAGGACAAATGTTTTTGCTTTGGACTCTAGTCTTTTGGTCCACTGGGACTTATGAAAAGTGCCATCTCTCTATCTGTTGATGATGAGTGGAAGAGAATACGAACGTTGCTGTCTCCAACCTTCAGCAGTGGGAAACTGAAGGAGGTATGAAAAGGACTTTCCAAGAGGTAGTCCACTGAGTTTGGACTTTCTAGCAATGCCTTTTTATCTTTATATTTAAAAGAGATAGTACCAAATTTATTACAAAATATCACTTACTGCTCCATGCTCTAAGAAAGTGATGTTCTTCTGGGACTTGAGTCTGCACATTTAACTACATGTGGTGTTATGTTTTGTGCTTAGATGTTCCCCATCATGAGCCAGTATGGAGATGTGTTGGTGAGAAACCTAAGGCAGGAGGCCAACAAAGGCAAGACTGTCAACTTGAAAGAGTGAGTAGGAGCAGTCTCGGGATTCTGAGCTGCCATGAGACCCTGTAGCTGCCTGCCACTCAGCTGATGTTACCAGTGTAGAATTTCTCCAGTGACCAGACAGAAGCAGGGTGTGGTGTTACACTCCAGTGGGACTCCCAGAAGGAGACAACTAGCACAGAGGCAGGGCAGCTGGGAGGAGAGGGGATTTCAGGGAAGAGTCTTGTCCACTGTGCACAGGAGCTGGGATTTACTTATTCTGATAAATTTTTGCCTTGGGTATTCTGGAAAAGAAAATAAATACTTTAGGAAAAAAAATTGTGAAAAGTTTTGGGTCTAGAGAACATGGAATGGTGGGGGGAGGGGGGAAAGGCTCTTGGTACCAACTGGCTGGAATGAGTAGAGCAGGAATATGACAGTGGGAAACTTGGGACAACTTTAACGCCTTCGTGATTTAGTAAGAGGATACCATCAAAATGCCATTAAAACTTCCTACCACTTTTCTTTCCTCCACTCTCAAAAAAGAGAGGGCCCTCTAAAGACTATAGGTAAGTACTCCTGTCATTTACTGTCTAAGTGGGGATATTTTTGAATTACACCAAAACAACAGGTAAACACTGAGCCAGTAGGGAAGGCTCCAACAGACTGGGGACACATGGTGACTCAGTGATGGGATCCCCTCATCAATTTTGGAGTGATCTATTTTTTTAAACTCGTACTATTCTTGGTTACTACATTTTAGTAATAACCAAAAGATGATCTGCCCTCAGGTCGATCTCAGATCATAAGAGTTGGGGAAAGTGGATCTTTCTGAAGAATTAGCAGGGAATATAGATGATAAGGAGTGATACTTCTGGCAACTCATCACAAGATATTGCTGTTCTGTAAAGTGCAGAAGAGGAATCACCTCTTGGAGTACACTTTGTGGTGAGCCAAGACCTAGACTCAGGGGTCCTCAAACTTTTTAAACAGGGGGCCAGTCCACTGTCCCTCAGACCATTGGAGGGCCAGACTGTGGGCCCCAGGATGAGTCGGCTACTAAGCAGGACAGGCAGCAGCGGCAAAAACACCCAGTAGGCCAGATAAATGTCCTCAGCAGGCCATAGTTTAAGGATGCCTGACCTAGATCAATGTCACCATTTTTGGCACCTGGGAAGAGTTAGTTATTCCACTCTTGTTCTGCTGAAGCATAGTGCTCACACCTGTGCTAACATCCACACTCAACACATGCTCCTGTAGTTTACTTGACTCTCAGTCTCTGAACCCCTCTGAACTCCTTGAGCTTAGAGGTGGGTCTAACTCGCCTTAGTGTCCCCATCACCCCCAGCACAGGACCAGCAGCATCACTGTCGCAAGATAACCACATCATGAGTAAGTAGGATGGGAAGTGATCCGGTAAGTAATTCTGAAAGTCTGCAGTTCTTTACCTGCCCTAACAAGACATATGGATTTACACACACATCTTGCTGCACATGCACCACAAGAATGGTAAAGAAGTACTAATTTCAGTTTTCACGTCTTTCTCTACTCAGCATCTTTGGGGCCTACAGCATGGATGTGATCACGAGCACATCATTTGGAGTGAACATTGATTCCCTCAACAACCCACAGGATCCCTTTGTGGAAAACATCAAGAAATTCTTAAAATTTAATTTTGTCACTCCCTTCTTTCTCTCAATTTGTAAGTGGAGTGCTGTGTATCTATCTCTCTCTCTCTCTCTTAAAAAATAACAGATTTATTGAGATATATATATAATTCATATACGAAATAATTCCATCACTTAAAATGTATAATTCAGCAGTTATTAATACATTTAAAGATATATGTAACCATCACCATTATTAATTTAGAAACATTTTTGTCAACTGAGAAACCCCATACTATTTAACTGTCACTGCCTCTCATCCCCTCTCAGCTTTAAGCAACTACTAATCCACCTTCTATCTCTGTAGACCTGCCAATTCTGGACACAGATGAATCTAATCATATAATATGTGGTTTGTGACTGGCTTCATTCGTTTAGCAATATATTTTTGAAGTTAATTATTGTTGAGGCATGGATCAGTACGTCCTTCTTTTTATAGCAAAATTACATTCCATTCTATAGACATCCTGCATTTTTGTTTATCCATCATAGTTGATGCACACTTCGGTTGTTTCCACCTTTTAACTCTTGTGAATAGTGCTGCTGGGATAGTTGTTTACAACTTTATATTTGAATGTTTCTTTCGGTTCTTTTGGATATATACTAAGGAGTGGAATTGCTGGGTTATACAGTAATTTTATGTTCAATTTGTTAAGGAACTGCCAATGGTTCTCCACAATAGGTGTACCATTTTATTAATACAGTCTCACCAAACATGTATGATGGTTGTGATTTCTCCACATTTTTGCCAATACTGGGTTTTAGATAGCAGACATCTTTTTTATTATAGCCATCCTAGTAGGTGTGAAGTGGTATGTCATTGTGGTTTTTATCTGCATTTCCCTAGTGGCTAATGATATTGACCAACATTTGCCATTTGTATATCTTCTTTAGATAATTGTGTACTCAAGTCTATTGCTCATAGATAACTGAATTATTTTGTTGTTGTTGTTGAGTTTTAAGAGTTGTTTATATATTTAGATACAACACTTTATCAGAAATATGATTTGCAAAATTTTTCTCCTGTTCTGTAGGTGTCTCTTCACTTCATTGCTAGTGTTCTTTAATGTATAAAATCTTTTATTTTGATGATGTTCAACTTCTGTGCTTTGTTTTTATAGCTTGTGCTTTTGGTATCAAATCTATTAATCCATTGCCAAATCTGTCATCATGAAGATGTGTTCTCTTGAGTTTTTCTGATGTTTGCATAGTTTAAGCTCTTAAATTCAGGTTTTTGTTGCATTTTGAGTTAGTTTTTATATACAGTGTTAGGTCCAACTTTATTCTATTACATGTGGCGGTCCAGTTGTCCCAGCACCATTTGTTGAAAATACTGTTTCTTCTTCATTCAGTAATCATGATAGTTTTCACAGAATTCAGAATTCAGTGGAGAGTAAGTATATAGGTTATTTCAAGACTCTAAAGTGTATTTCATTGATCTTTATGTCTATCTAAATGCCAATACCATATTGTCTTATTATGTAAGTTTTGAAATTGGTAGTAGAAATCTTACAACTCTATCCTTCTTTTTCAAGATTGCTGTAGCTATTTTAGGTCCCTTGAAATTTTACATGGTTTTTAAAGTCAATTTGACAGTTTCCACAAGGAAGATTCTGGTAAGGTGTTAAATCTGCAGATCAATTTCAGATAGTATTACCATATTACAATATTAAGTTTTCTGGTCCATGAACATGGGATTTTTTTAATTTTATTTAGATCCACTTTAATTTATTTCAACAATATTTTATAGTTTTCAGAGGATAAGGCTGCTCCTAATTTTTAATTCGTTTTGATGCTATAGTAAATGGAAATATTTTCTTAATTTCACTTTTGGATTATTTATGACAACATGCAGAAACAGAAATTATTTTTGTATATTAATCTTGTATGTAAAAAGTATGTGCATATTGCTAGATTGATACAGTTTGCTAGTATTTTTTTAAAGATTTGTGCATTTATATTTATTAGATATATTATAGCTTTTTTTCTTGTGATATCTTTGCCTGGTTTAATATGGTATAATACTGGCCTTATAATTAACTTGGAAGTGTTCCTTCATCTTCTACTTTTTAAACATGTTTGTGAAGAATTGATACAGTTCTTCTTTAAGTATCTGGCAGAATTTACCATTGGAAACATCTGGGTCTGAGCTTATCTTTGTGGGTAGTATGTAGTTATTAATTTAATCTCTTTATATGTTACAGGTCTATTCAGATTGTCTACTTCATTTTGATTGGCTTCTGTAGTTTGTGCCTTTGAAAGAATTTGTCCAGTCCATAAGTTATCTAATTTATATAATTTTTCTAATAATACAGTTATTAATAAATTTCTTTATATTACTTTTAATTTTTAAAAATGACAGTAACATTTTCCTCTCCTTCATTTCTGAGGCTAAGAATGAGTCATCTTTCTTTCTTCCTTGTTCAATCTAACCAAAAATTTTCTGATTTTGAAGATGTTTTCAAAGAACCAGATTTTGGTTTCACTGCTTTCTTCTATTGTTTTAAAATCTCTATGTCATTAGTTTATACTTTGATTTTATTATCTTCTTTCTGTTTGCTTTAGGCTTAGGTTGTTCTTCCCTTTTCAGTGTGTGCAGTGTAAAATTAGACTATTAATAGAAGATCTTCATTTTTTTAACTTAGGCATTTAAAACTATAAATTTCCCTCTGCATATGCCTTTGCTACTTCCAATAAGGTCTGGCGTAATGTGTTCTAATTCCTTTTCAGCCTGAAACTATTTCTTCTTATTCTTTGATTTCTACTTTGACTCATGGGTTATTTAGAAGGGTATTACTTAATTTCCACATATTTGTGAGTTTCCCAGTTTTCTTTCTGTTATTGATTTCTAGTTTCATTGTCGTTTGAAGGACTATGCTATATTATTTCTATCCTGACTACACTTTATTGAACAACACGACTGATTAAAGCAATAGACTATAATTTGACTTGTCCATAAAAATTCTATTTCAATAGATAAAAACTTAAGAGGTCAATGAATTTAATCCTGTTCCTTTTGTCAGGATTCTTCTGCATTCCAAAGTGAGAAGGGCCCCTGATCTCACTGCTATTGGGGTAGCCTCTAAGTGTGGACCTGCCCTTGCTCTAGCATTGACCTAGAACAGAAGCAGAGGCCATACAGGGAATAGCTCCTTGTTAGAATCCTGAAGTCTTTTACTTTTCTGTTTCTTAGAGAAGATTATAATTGCATCAGGTAAATTTTGCATTTTACTGATGCTTTTCTCTTTTTTTCTCCCTATAGTACTCTTTCCATTCCTTATCCCAGTTTTTGAAGCATTAAATATATTTGTGTTTCCAAAAGATGTTATGGATTTTTTTGAAAAATCCATCAAAAGGATAAAAGAAAGCCGACTCCAAGATAAACAAAAGGTAAAATCTGGTGGTGGTTACTTAATTCAGGGGTCTGTATACAGATGGTTTGTGAACTGGTCTGTATTTTTAAAGCTAAATAGAGAACTGCCATTTAGAGCAGGAGTGTTTTGACACTTTGACAAGAATGAATATGGTGGAAGTTGGGAAGAAGATATGAGAATAAGTGAGACACAGCAATTGAAATTTAATAATAGGTATAAAAATTAGTATATCATGGCATAGTATTGAGAAACACCTTACCACTTCCCCTCACTTCAATAAATTATCACAGGATAAAAATTGCTGTTTAAAAACTACTTTACAGATAATATAATTGCCTCAGATCTTAGATTGAAAAGGAATCATTTAAAGTCAAAACCTGTTATTTTACTCATTATCTAGTGGAAGGTCTTACCATGTTACTGAAATATAGTCTATTTTAAATTAGTGCCCTCTCATGGCCAGGAGTGGGCAGGGGTCTTCTCTGGACATAAAGACTTCAAATTGCCTGACATGGGTTTGCCATCATAAGCCCTGGGAACTATCTCAATGATGTCTACCAGTCAAGGAGGCAGGACTGGGTACCCACCTGTTACTAAGATTATATAGAGTTTGGGGAAAGTGGAGCACTTAAAGATGCTGCCACAAAAACTACAGATAAGTTCTAGAAATGACAGATTAATCTATGTGGCCACTGGTTAAGAATGAAAGCAAGAAGAAAAATAACATTGAAGTCCAGGACTTCTTCCCTAGAAAGCAAGTATGACTGAAGAAGCAGCAGGCAACTCTCAGGCAGGAAGCTGTGTTCAAAACCCAGAGAAGCTGAGAGTCAGGGAGTACAATGACCAACACATAATTAGACAGGATAGCTGAATTTCTTTCAGGGAAACATCCTGCTCTCCAAGGTCTTACATGGATGCTTTTGTTCACTGGGAACTCAAGCAACATCTGCTAGATTCTGGACTTCAAAGGCCCATATTCTCAGAAGGGAGGTTGGGAATTGCATTCCTAATTTACTTTTGACTTCACAAGTCACTTACTATCACTGAAATTTCTCTTTCTGCTTCCAGCACCGAGTAGATTTACTTCAGCTAATGATCGACTCCCAAAACTCCAAAGAAACAGAGTCCCATAAAGGTAACCAAGAAGGGTCTTCAAGGACTTCTGATAGGAAAGCCCCAAGGGAGATGCTTGTTCTGAAAATGTGCAGAGAGCTTTCCAGGAAGATGAGAATTTCTGCCACATTGTAGAAAGACAAATATTCAGACATGGTGGGCAGAGCCATGTTCAAAGCTAGAAGGGCAGCCCTGAACAAGCCTGTTATACCCAGAAATCAGCTGGTATCCTGTGGATCACCAACATGAGAACTAACATCTGGAGTTCTCAGGCTCCTCCAGATCCACTGAGGCAGAACCTTGCATCTAACATCTAATCAGGAAGCCCCCAGTATCAAGAAGGGTGATTTTAACTGGGAATACTGGGTAAAAATGTGTTCACCAGCTTAATCTACTATAAAATGTTATTTGGTTTTTGTAATAAGTAATTTGTGGGGAAAATATTTGTGTATGTATAAGTATCCTGTTTGTCTTTAATCTAACAACTACTCATTTTATCATCCAGTAATGGTTTTGACTGAAACCATTATTACTACGATGCTGCAATATGATAACCATGGTCAATTTCAAACCACCAAGTCACAACCATCTCACAAAAGTCCTAAATATGTAACAATTTATTCTAGAGCACAGGGGTAGACTAGCTTTAGCACAGAACTCTAAATATGTGTTTGTCTACCTCTATTTCTCTCTCTCTTTGCTATCTATCTATGTATCTATTCTAGTACAACTTTCTGTGATGAAAGAAATTGTCTTTCACTTCCCTCCTCAATACAGTAACTACTACACACATGTGGCTACTCAGCACTGGACATGTGGCTAAGGCCAGTAAAGGAAAATTTAAACTGTATTAAATTATAATAAATTTAAATAAAGATTTAAATCTCCATATATGGTTAGTTGCTACTATATTGGACAGCAGAACTCCAATCTCTGAGATTATAATCCAACTTCAATTCAGTATCATGGGGTTCATCATAACTCAATAAAAGAATTTGATAGTTAAATCGACCCACAGCAGCATCACAGAAATCTCCACTCTGTAGACCCATCCCACACTCATTTTGTATTGTTCTTAGTTATGAATTACATGGACAGCACAAAAACCAAATGTATTTCAGTGGTCCAGGTGTCTAAATGTCTTAGTCCAGTCCAAATCAAACAGACCAGTGCCTAATCTTGTTCAATTTCTCTCAGGAGAGAAGTCAAGAAGGAGGCTTACTTATAGTCACAAGGGCTATTTGATGAGCATGAAGGAGAGCACAGAGAGGGCCATGGACTAATGAAGATGACATTCAGGCCATGACTGAATAAGCATTACTAATTCCGCTCACTAGATCCTATTTTTCTATATTTCATTCTGGCCATTGTCCTTCCATAGACACATTCTTTCTTTTGCTATTTTAAAGCCATTCATTAGACTATGGCCAGTCACCACCCCTCCAGCTTTCTAGCTCTATAGTTTCTTTATATCCTGAGATCATCCACATGAAGACTTGTGCCCCAGAACTTCTAGTAGCTGATGCCTCTCAGAGGTATAACCATATTCCTCAGGCTGGGGTGTGCACACAAATCACCATGTCTCCTGAAAGTTCAGATATTCACTCTATAATTCTAGGATGGTGTTTGAAATTCTGCATTTCTAATAAGCTCCTAGATGCTGCTGGTGCTGGTGATCCATGGACAACACTTTGAGCAGCAAGACTCTATCTGTAGGAACTTATTATTTCCTTAAGTTCCCTCAAACATATTCAGAGGAAAGATTCATTCACATTCCCTATAATTTAAGCCAGAGGTCCTCAAACTTTTTAGACAGGGGACCAGTTCACTGTCCCGCAGACCATTGGAGGGCCAGACTGTGGGCCCCTGGACGAGTCAGCTGCTAAGCAGGATAGGCAGTGGCGGCAAAAACACCCGGCAGGCTGGACAAATGTCCTAGGTGGGCTGCATGTGGCCCACAGGCTGTAGTTTGAGGACAACTGATTTAAGCCTTAGTATTGCAAACTCCCTCAAAAACTGAGTTTAAGTCTGATTTACTTCTGATTTCACAAGTAGAGAAGAGAGGGAAAATGCTATCCCATATTTTACCTTAACTAAAGTACTTTAGTGATTATCCAAAGGGCATACCCAGAACATGGAGTATGTGAGATAGAAATGCTCTCTCTAGAAATTACATATCTGTATTGGTGACAGGGATGGCATAATGAGGAGTGGATAGTCTACAACCACAAAGACCTTGGGACAAACCAAATTAAAGCAAGTTTGCCTTTTTCTACCTCTATAAGATAGCCATTAGATTAAAACCACCCCCATTGTGACTCGGAGTTACTTTTCCATTTTTGTCTCTAAAGATTTGGAAACTCATTAGATTTTTCTTCCTCTAAAAACTGTGATATTCTACATTAACAGGACTTACCTAAAATGTCTTTCCTTTCAGTTCTATCTGATGTGGAGCTTGTGGCCCAGTCAATTATCTTCATCTTTGCTGGCTATGAGACCACTAGCAGTGCTCTTTCCTTCCTTATGTATGAACTGGCCACGCACCCTGATGTCCAGCAGAAACTGCAGGATGAGATTGATGCAGCTTTGCCCAGTAAGGTGAATGGATAACACCTGGAAAGGGAGAGAGAATGTGATGCCTTCTCGAGAATGCCTGCTCACCACTTCCTGGGGGGGGGGGGTTGCAAAAATGGTTAGTAATGAATGGTTCTTCCATGAGCCCTAATAAGGAAGGATCTCAAGAGGAAAACAAAGGGAGAAATAACATGCTGCTTGTAGAAATACAAGATCTTTTTAAAACAGTACTTATCCTGGTACATCCATTGTCAGTTACCAAAATAATACCAAGTAAAAAACTCCATAAAATTTCCATGACATCTATCAGTAAGCATATACTGCTCATATGTCTGAATAGTTAACTTAGCAGGCCGTGGCTGTACCCGGCCTTGGGCATGCCGGGCAAGTGGGCCCAGCTCTGCCCACAGCTATCTCATGCTGCAGTCATGGGGCTAGTGGTAAAGAATCCAAGTAGAAACCAGGGTGTCTGGCTCCTGGGGAATCTCTTAAACTCTACACAATTGCCTCCAAATACAACACTTAGTGCTAGGGATGTATCCCCCACACTGTTTTCAGATCTCTATGCAGTTGGGATTCTTTGTCATGTGAAGAAACCTGGTCTCTGGTGCTGGCAAGGCTGGTCTGGGACTGAGGTGAACACAAAGAGATCTTCTTCAGAGCTACAGTGAAGCTCTAACCAATAAGTGGGAGACTATTCCAGCAAGAGGATGGGGCAGAGTGTACAATTTCTATCCTCTTCATAACTTTCACTAGAACTGATATTTTTTGCCCTGAGAACATCTAATTGCAACCTTCTTTCATCATATTGGTGTCAGAAAGGGACTAATTTCCCCAAATTATTTATAGTATTAATACTAGTGTTTTTATATAATAAGGCATTTCTCTCTACTCATATTTATATTTACATATTTATATTTATATTTATCATCTCTCTCTATTCATATTTATATTTACAGATGTAAAATCAAAAGAGATACCAAGGAGGGTCTGCAACAAAAAAGTTTCATGTGGAATAGGGCATTTGCTCTCTATATGCTCTCTTCTCATTTCAGATATGTGGTCTCTCTTTTGTAAGATAAAAATGACATTGGCATATTTTACTTTATTTTACTGTTATACTCCATTAATCATGTGTCATTTACATGAAACAATAAATAGTATTACATGGTGATGCTCAGGACTTCAGTTCCTGGGTAGAAGATGGCCCTGCAGGTCTCCCACATCCAGAACATCTCCACATGTCTCCATGGGACACTGAGCAGGACAAGGACATGATAGTTATTAAAATGCTTTGTAGATAAGTAATTTGGAGAAATTAGTCATTTACCAATGTGTTTCTTTCAATCCCCTAACACTTTAATAGTGTTGATGGTCAAGACAACGTCTCCAGGTATTCAAATCTGTTTATTTCTTCCCAGACACCTGCCACCTATGATGCCATGGTACAGATGGAGTATCTTGACATGGTGGTGAATGAAACTCTCAGATTATTCCCAATTGCTGGAAGACTGGAGAGGGTCTGTAAGAAAGATGTTGAAGTCAATGGAGTGCTCATTCCCAAAGGGGTCACTGTGATGATACCAACCTTTGCCCTTCACCGAGACCCAAAGCACTGGACAGAGCCTGAGGAGTTCCGCCCTGAAAGGTATGAAGTACTTGGGAGAGGGAGCCCACCCTGACATAGGCTGTTTTCAGCACATTCTGACATCTTTTAGTATACATGACATCATATGATTGCACAATGATTTGCTTATAAGTCTTTATTTGTATTAGTTTTTATCACAAAAGTGATCCTTGTCAATCTCTACAAATCATAGGCTAGAAAAAGGAAAACTATAACTACCCACAGTCACAACATTGTAAGATAATCCTCATTAACATATGGTCTTGTAGACATTTCTTTATGCACATATTAAAAAAGAAATTTGAAACAGAATCTCATTCTGTTGCCCACACTAGAGTACAGTGATGTCATCATAGCTCACTACAACCACAAACTCCTGGTCTCAAGTGATCCTCCTATGTTGGCCTACCAAGTAGCTGGGACTATAGGCATGCATCAGCACACCTAGCTAATTTTTATATTTTTTGTAAAGATGGAGTCCTCCTCTTGCTGAGGAAGGTCTCCAACTCCTGGCCTCAAGCAATACTCCCACCTCAGCCTCCCAAAGTGCTAGGATTACAGGTGTGAGCCACTACACCCAGCCAATATATGTATGTATCTATTTTGAAACTACATTTACATAAAATTTCATTTGTCTTTGATCTGTTGCTTCTTTTATTTAAGAGTAAACTATAAGCTATTTATTATCTTTTTATTATTAATATGTATTTTAGGTATGCATATGCTATAACTTGGGCATATTACTGTTTTCAGTTTTTCTGTGCTCTTCCTTTTAGCTATTTGAATTTACCACCAACTTTAGGAACTGTTTTCACATTTCATTTTATTCAACATTGGTGGCTGCTTCTCAAGGGTGATTGCAAAAGTATAGGCTAAAGTCCTGGGAAATCTTGATCCTAGATGGTTTAAGCTACTTCACTGAGGACACAGAAGAGCACAGGTCTTGACAGGGACAGGATCAGTGTCTACAGTCCTATGGCAGCTCCCTTATCCTCTTAGTACTTAGTGATTCTTCCGTGGCAAGGTCATCAGCTCTCTGGATATCTCAGACATTCTTCTTTCGTGGTGTCTTGAGCTTGCTCTTTTTGGACTTCAGAGCCAAAGTCAGGCTTTGGGCATAGTTTATACTCTGCAAGTAGTTGATTCTTTGGCATTATCGCATTGCTAAACAAAATTTAGAATAAAGTTTTTCAGGCACTGAATGCAGAAGCCTAGGATCTACTTTTATTGACTCCCTCACTGAAAGCCTGTGGAGGGCAGGGACCTTGTTTTGGTGTCCCTCAGATGAGCATGAAGTCCTAATGCTTGTTGAAAGAGTAGGCCACAATTGACCAAGAACCCCATTTTCTGGATCAAGCTCTTTGTTTTTTCCTCCAGCTCCACCCTTCCGTATCTTTTAGCTTCAGGAATATGAAATCAGAGAACACTCACTTCTCTTTGATTTATTCCTTCACCAAAAAGTCTGTATGTCAGAGACTGGGACAGTCTGTGGGAAATCCAAGTGTTTGGGAAAAAATCTGTATTATGGAGAATGGTTGCCACATATACAAATATTTTCTATAGAAAAGGTCTGTAGAGTACTTTTCATCCAGATTTATGTGTCTTCCCTTGCCCCAAGAACCATCAAACGGTTTTGAAGCAATCGCCCATGAATATTTCAGAATAGTCTAAAAAACATGAGGACTTTTTTAAAAACATACAACCACAAAACAACATTTTGTCTGTAATATAATCAAATATGAAAAAATCATACTTAAAAAAAACAGATGTCTAATGGTATTTCAAGGCTTTTATTGCCTAGTGGGGAAAAATATACAAGAAATTGATGAAATTACAGTAGGGTAGCAGCCTATGTCTCAGACAATTTTGTGACTTAATTATTTTGGAGGGCAGAGGAAGAAATGGTGAAAGCAAGACAGAAAAAGTACAGGAAGAGGAGGAGGAAGAAGGGAAGGAAGAGGAAGCAGATAAAAAGAAAAGAGAAGAGAAAAGAAGGAAAGAAAAAAAATAACAATTTAAATAGTATGAGGCATATTCTCCCACTCTTTCCTCAATGTACCCATGACCAGCATAAGTCAGAGGTGGGGTATGAACCTACTTTTCCTTCAATCACTCTCATTTCCTATGTGCCTTTCAGAGTGTGAACATATCACAACCCTGAATATAATTTTAGTGTTTAGAGATAAATTTTCTTTTACATAGTATTCCTCTCATCTCTCCAAGATTGAAAAATTCTACAAGGTAAAGAAGATAATGAAAAGAATAAGTCGATTATGATTCTCACAGCAAAATAATAATAGCAAGATTTCAATGACCAGCCACAAACGTGTCCTACATATACCTGGCTGGAGAGGTCTGTGGAAGAACCCTTAAAGTGTAGTTCCTATGGCTGGTATGTTCCCTTAATTTGTTTTTAATCTTCCCTGGTGTATCTAGGTTCAGCAAGAAGAACAAGGACAGCATAGATCCTTACATGTATATGCCCTTTGGATCTGGGCCCCGAAACTGCATTGGCATGAGGTTTGCTCTCATGAACATGAAAATTGCTCTTATCAGAATCCTGAAGAACTTCTCCTTCAAGCCTTGTAAAGAAACACAGGTCAGTAAAATTATAAATGTTTGATTGAGTATGTTTTGTAACTGAAGGATCTGAAGAAAATATTCTCATTATCTTTTAATAATGTGCTCTATGGGCCAAGAATCTACATGAACCAATGTGAGCTCTAAGGGTGCTTCATCTCTGCAGGTTTAAACCTGTAGCTTTCTAAATACCAAGCTACAAAAATCACCTGGACTCAGTGCAGATTAGCATGACATAAGTACATCAGTCCCTGAACTCCAGCAGAGTTTTCAATCAAGTCTTCTAGAGATGGAAAGGGCTGTTTACAGTCATGTAGGGCAGTGATGACGCCTCATGACTGTCAAGTGCTGCTCCCTCTACCAGAACCTCAGAAGCTCTCTAATGACAAGGGTTCTCAGCCAGGGCTCTACATTGGAATCACTAGGGGGCTCTAAAACTTCATGATGCTGAGTCATCTAGAAATTCTATAATAATTTGCACAGAATATGGCTTTAACTGTCTTCCTATTGTTTCTCACGTGAAGCCCAGGTTGAGAATCACTGATTTAATCATTTCTGCCAGACAAGAAGGACTCCCCCAGTCCAGGACCCTCCTGTTTATCCTCACCTCACCCACTGCCCCAGAATAGTTGGACTCCTTTTGAACCCAATAACAACTCCGTAACTGTTCTTCTCTCCTCCTTATCTGTTCTCATTCCTCTAGGGCCCATGCAGGGTTCTGTTATTGTTTACCACAATAACAGAAATTAGTGTTATCCCCATCTAATTTCATACTTTGCTTTTTAATCATCAAGATTTTTCTTTAAGTTTTTTCTGTATGTAAGAATCTCTCCTCCCAGTCCTTTTGAAAATATCACCTCAATGGGGTCTTGTGAGGGACATTGTCCATTGCAAGCATTCAGTAAATGCTTAAGGAATGATTTACAGATGACTTGGGGTTTTTGGATGTAAATTTTAAGCCACTGAATTTTAAAATTTTACATGTGACATTTGTGTGCCTTGTGCGTGTGTGTGAGTTTAGGTCCCATGAAAATATGTTCATGCCATTTGAAATTTTAAAATAATGTCTTACATTTTTATAAAAAGGTTTATATCTTTCATCTGAAGACCTTTACAGAAAAGTTGCCATTAATTCATATCAACCAAAGCACAATGAGTCTTAATTCATGCCTTAAATACACAGCTCCTCCCCTTAAGTAGGCTTTTAGCATGTGAGAGGAGGAAGATGGAGATGGTTTCCATCTTATTTTTGGCTTTAGGGCCACAGTGTAGCTGCCCAGTAAGTGTGTACTCAGGGTGCTCAGTCCTGAAAAAGAACTGGCCTGTTTCTCTCCTAAGATGGAGAAGATCTTCCCTGGCAAGTTCCCAGGTATCTACAGGCTGGCACTTCTCAATTTCTAAGATAAACTTCTTGACTCACTCAACTGAGATTAGAAAGTTATTCTGTTGGTGACTCTCCAAATGCTACAGTTATGAAACCAGTGGGAATGGGGCTAAAAGTATTAGTCAAAACATTGTGAGATTTGATAATTTTCCCATTTGCACTATATTTGGAAACCAAGAGATTTTAGAAAACTAAAGCATAATGCTTCCTGAAGGCCTCTTCTCATCAGGACATTGGACAGTTTCATCTGGGAGGAGTTGTAAGACTTTTTTCAAAGTCAAGAACTTCCCCTACAATTGAAATGTCTAAAACCTACTCAAGATTACCTTGCAAGTTTCAACATACATAATTAACTTTAGATGGCTTTTTACACCATAAACTTAAGAAAAAACTCATCCTTTACATTTTAAATTTAAATCATAAAATCCATAGGCCAATATGAATTTATCTCTGGTCTGGTACAAAATACATGCTCAATAAATATTTTGGTGGATGAACAGATGGATGAATGCTTACTCTCCAATATTGACACTGTTGTAGAATAAGCATAAAGAGTCCAAGATACATGGTGCTAAAAAATTTTATATATGTTTGCAAAGCATTATTGCCTTTAATGTATATTTTTACTTTGCTTGTGTCTTTTCTTGTTTTGCTGCATTTATTGCTTCTCAATACTCTGTTTAACTGATGCAGATCCCCCTGAAATTAAGCAAAAAAGCAATTCTTCAACCAGAAAAACCCATTGTTCTGAAGATTGAGTCAAGAGAGGGGACCACAAATGGAGCCTGACTTTCCCTACGAACTTCTGCACTGTTCTTCTAAAAAGCTGTGTCCCAGAAAACAATATACCCCAATTTTCTTTGATAATAAAACCCAGAAATAAAGATGAGCTTAACCTAGTGGACTTGAAGAATGAAAACGGATGATTCTGTATGTGCATTGAGCTCTCTCAGTGTCTATGTAGAGGATTGTATATCATGTAACATAAAGGAAGTGTCGAAACCAGTGCCAGATGGGTGGATTTTGCTTCTATGAGATCTATCCTCAGAAGACCAGCTAGTACCATCAATTCCTCAGCTCTGAGCAAAGAATAAACATTTCTCAACAATTTTGTAAATAATTTTTGCTGGAAATGAAAATTATTGTGGTGACTGTAATAGTGACATTATATCCCATGTTCCATTAGTAATATTCTATACTAAGTTTTACACTGAGAAAGTCAATAAATACCTCTTTTAAAAATATTGTCTGATTCCTTCATGTACTTTATGGATGAATCTAAAGAAGTAAATTGTTGAGAACTGGAAAAAATATTTTAGATCTTATAATCACTGACTGTATGAGACCTTTCTAGGACTCCAATATGACTATCAAGATAGGTGAGTTATAACTTTACTGTGACTTTGCCCATTGCTTAGAATGTATATTCATAGTTTAATTCTCCTTTTTTTTGAAGCACTTTTTTTTATCCTTGACTATGGTACTTTTTATTTCATATAGTTTCCATTTATTGCTTTTATCCCATCTCCCCTGACAGTTCTGGAAGACAGTAAGCATACTTTCTTATACCTCTTGTATTCCAGCTTCAATTCCCAAAAGTTAAAACAATGAAACTGAATGAAAATAGTCAATTGGTCAATTGGCTGAACAACAAGGCCAGATGCACTAGTCAGCTTCAGCTGATATAAGATGCTGCCCAGCAGTCTTCCTTTTCCTTTTCTGCTCCTTCTCAAAGAATTGGATTACGGCTAGGCACCTGTGGCTCAAGTGGCTAAGGC